TCATACGTCATCCGCCTGGAGCTGCTTCCGTGTAGGACTGTTGGCGCAAGCTACATTAAAGTGATTATTACGTTTTGAATATGGATATTTTTCTTACAAAAACATCGATTCGGTACAGTTGGCCTTTGTTCACCCCCCAGAGCCGTGTGCTTTTTTTAATGGATAGGTGCTTTTTATTTAACTTCTTTTGGACTGAACTAACCTTTTAAATAACTGAAATTATATGCTAAAAATTAAACTAAATCCGCCAGCAGGTGGCGGCAAGTCACTGATTTTATCACTGAGTCATTCATTCAATTGATTCGTTCGAACAGCTGAATCATTCAGGAATGAAGCAAGTGATTGTCTTTAGGAACTGACGGAAATCCCTGTGGATCTCTTAATAATGCATCTGAAACGGCGTTTGATGTGGCGTCCCACTGACCTGCGGGATGACCGTTGACTCCCTGCTGCTCTCTCCTCAAGCGCCGCAGCTGCTGCTCGTTTGCGTCCCGCAGCTCCTGCAGCTGCACCTGTGTCTGCGCAAAAAGACTCTCTCTGAGCAGCTCGAGATGAGCGGCGTGGATCTGAGACAGACTGATGCGCTGAGCCTCCAGCTGCAGACGACACTCATCCTGCAGACAGACAGACGGACCGAGAGTGAACTGCAGGGATTCGTGAGTGATTAAAGGAGAACCTTCTGAGGCTAAAATACAGCAGAGGCAAACACATTAGTGGGTGAATCCCACAAAAACACGCCCAAAGTCAATGCAAAAGATTCACAGCCTATTATTTAAGGATAAAGAATCAGAGAGATGTCAGTGGAAAATGATCCGAAAAACAAGAAAATTGTGTCACGAGACTGCAAAGAACATGCCTGGGTCATATTTCAAACTCCAAAATTTAAAAAAAAATTTAATTAATAGAAAAAAAATTATAAAAATGTTTTATAAATAAAATATTTGCTATTTCCAACTCCAAAATAAATGTAAAAAAAATTAATAGAAAAAAATGATAAAAATGTTTTATAAAAAAAATATTAAAATATTTGCTAAATATGATATATAAAGTTACCGTGATGTAAAACAACCTGGTGCAGATGATATAAAATATTTAAAAAATTATTGATTTAAAACGGTTTCCCAAATATTATTTTTCATAAAAGCAACACAGCATGATTTTGGATCATTATGATTTGTTGCCGAGACATTTTTTTTAATGATAATTAAATATCAACCTCTCACTCTCATGACAGTAATGTAAAAAAAAAAAAAGATTATCTACATTGTAAATTATTTTTACAACATGGTGATATTTGCACTTACATTAATTTAATAAAAAAATAATGGAAGAACAAATCAAAATGAAGTAAAACATATAAATACATTTTTTATAAAACCAACTAAACCTGTTTAAGATTTGTTTCCGTGTGATTATTTTCATGAATCTCAAATGCTCCTTAAGCAGGCTTTAACATTTTTGCTCAAACCATAATTATTTATTTCTTTTAATTTTGGGGTGAAACGTGACACAGATATGATTTTAAGATTCATTCAAGAAATCAGCTGTTATTTTGACTTCCTAAAGAGTGTAAACATTCTGTAATGCTTTTGTTTTCTTTGATCAGCCAGACGTGTCAACTTCTAACTCGACCAATGGCGTGAGACTGGAGGCGGGACTATCTGTTTGACTGACCAATGACCAGGCAGTAGGATTGTTTGGCTGCAAGGTTAACTTACCGTCACATTTACCCTGAACTCTCGGCTGATTAACCCAAACCTGGCTTACTCAGAGAATAAGTTGCTCACATACCCTGAGAGTTACCTCCGATTTTATATTTATTTAGTTTATAATACTAATCTAAAGCTAAAATCATAAAAATATATTTATTTCGTTATTTTACTAAACTAAAACCTTACAAATTTATTTATTTAGTTTACTATACTAAACAAAAAAACATAAAAATGTACTTTATTATGCTAGAATTTATTTTTTTAGTTTATTATACTAAAAAGCTAAAACCATAAAAAACGTATTTATTTAGTTTACTATACTAAACTAACAACCATAAAAATATACTTTATTATACTAGAATTTATTTTTTTAGTTTATTATACTAAAAAACTAAAACCATAAAAAATTTATTTATTTAGTTTATTATACTAAACTAAAAACCATAAAAATATACTTTATTATACTAGAATTTATTTTTTTAGCTTATTATTCTAAACAAAAACTAAAACCATAAAAAACACATTTTAGTTTATTATACTAAACTAAAAACATTAAAAATTTACTTTATTATACTAGAATTAATTTTTTTTTGTTTATTATACTAAACAAAAACTAAAACCATAAAAAAATTATTTTAGTTTATTATACTAAACTAATAAAAACATTTATTATGCTAATCTAAAACAAAACAAAAATTCTTAAAAATAAATTTTTGACTTGAAATAGCCACTGAAATAAAATAAAATATAATAAAAAACGTATTTTATTTCAGCTAGTTACCAAGGCAACATTTCTCATTTTTGTTTAGTTCAACTTGAAAAACTGAAATAAAATTAATATAAACTATATAGACAAAAAAATATATAAAATTGACAAAAACACACAACAAAATTACTAAAACTAACTAAAATTAAAATGAAAACTGAAAATATAAAATAAAGTAATAAGCCCCAAGAAGCCGTGGTTTACAGTGAATTTATAACAGCTAAGTGGCGTTGTTACGATGCGAAGCAGAGTGCCTAAACCCCCCTTAGCTGTTATAAATTCACTGTAAACCACGGCTTCACAGGGCTTATTGCTTTTATAAAACGAATAAAAACAGTATTCTTCCACCAAACAATGTAGCTCCTCAGAAACAGTTGTGTTTGCAACAAAGTGGTTGCCGAGCAACACACAAACGTAAACAAAGGTGTATGTTACTTTGTAGAGTAATTTACAACAGCTTCGAACGCGGCTCAGCCAATCAGAATCAAGCACCGGAACTATCTGTTTTATAAACAAAAACGAACTAATATTAATAAAAACTATAATAGCATCTCAATAATACTAAAATAACACTGAGGTTTCAGGCTGGACGTCTTGTGAGTCTTTATCTGAAACAAACATCTCTCTCACACACACACACACACACACACACACACTCACTCACACAAACACACACACACACTCACTCACACAC